TCCTCCCAGGCCATGATGACCCGGTGCCCTTCTATATTGATGTGTAGGTGCGGGTTTGCGTGAAGGTGTCGTTGTAGTATAGAGTGTATGTGGGAAGGTAAGTCATTGTCTCGAAAGCAGCGGCACGCTCCCTAGTTGTTTGTGCGGATAAGGATTGTATCGGTTGAGTGTATATGTTCTGTGATGGCTTCGGCGATGGCGAGTATTTCTGCGGCCGTCGAGGAGGGGACTTATTCGTGTTCACAGGATGAAGATGATCGGGGTCCGATAACTGCCGTTCTGCTCCTGGTATGTGTGAGGCTCGCGTCCCTGTAGTACACGTCTGTGTCTGAAGGGGAGCGTGAGAGTACCCGGTGGGCATGAGCTTCGCGGCGGGGTTGGTGGTTGTCAGGAGACATGTTCTGTGGAATAGGGAGAACAGTTATGCGTGGGAGTGAGTCCCAGGGTGGGGTCGAGGGTGGGAGGGGGGAAGTCTGGATGGTGTCATATTGTTAATGGGCGAGGACCTGGCGCCCCTGTTCTGGTGTTGTTAATCGCTGGTGTTGCGCATGTTCGTGTATAGTGCTGCGATCTCTAGTGAGTTAAAGTTGCCAGTGTTTATGAATAGATGTACAGGAGCAAATCGAGGGACTCCTAGAGCCAGTCACGTGCATTTCCGGAGTGCGGTTTCTAGCTTCTTTGTTTGGGTCCGAGTTAGTGTAACATATGGGAGGGGATACATGACTCGTGTAGAGACGAGCGCCTCGATGGTCTTGCGGAGCTCATGCTCCTTGAGGCCTCAACTGCATCTCGTAGCACGACTAAGCATGTCGTGTATCTGGTTAATTTGGCGTATGATGTGTCCTATCCACACATTGGCTTTCCCATTCTGTTGGATATGGAAGCCGAGAACTTTAGTAGTTTGCTTTCGAGGAATGGGTTTGCCATCTATGTGGAGGTGTATGCGGGCTCTATATGTTTCAGCTTTCTTGCCTGTGCAATTGGTAACAACGACATATTCGGACTTGTCGGGTGAGCAGGTGAGGCCTATAGCCTGAACGTATTGGTGTATGGTATTGAGGCCTGCCTGTATGGTTTGTTCCTGTTACGCCGGTGAGCCTGTATTGCTCCAAATGGTTATGTCGTCCACGTATAGATTGTGGTGTAGGTTGGGGATCGTTGCGAGCCTTTGGGAGGTCTTTGACGGCCAAATTAAAAAGAATGGGAGAGAGGATTGCTCCTTGAGGCACACCCGCGGTGAGTGTGTATTTTGGGGGAGTATAGTCATCTACTTGTATCTGTATTGTGCGGTTCGTCAGGAACGCTGCGATGTAATTGTACATCTTTGACCCAGGCCTCGTGTCTATTCGAGCAGAACATTGTTTCGTGTAATTTTTTTATGCGGCGTTTTCCGGGTGCCGAAATAGTCTGCCGGAAGTTATGGTGGTTAGTGATAACTACTTTTTGTTTAAAATGTATTTTCAATAAACTCAGAGAGAAAAGAGAAAAGCCAGTTCCTAGGATTATACTTTATTTCGAGAGTTAGGTACAGCGTTGTAAGTAAAACAGGGACGAGAGCGCGGTTTTATAACGCGCTCATTTTCTGCAAGTTCTTGCGCGAACAAATATTTTTATTTTAGATATAAGCTATGGGGCGGACGTGCTTGGTATCGCACAACACACTTGTCACTCGTGAGATCAGCTTAACGAAGATTTCACGTGTATGCGACAGCACAACCTTTTTTTTTTTTTTTTTTTTTTTTGTCATGACGTCTGGGTATTTTTTGCGTCCCGGGGTAAGCGGATTCAGAGTGACCCCGTCGAGGAACGAGATGGTACATGAGCGCTCTCTCACCGGTCAGCTTTGCGGCGCAACACCCGTGCCTTACGAGGGATCTACATCGAAAAGAGAGGCTCCTCTCAAGGCATCGCTGTAGAAAGATATCCACACGAGCCTTTCCGTCAAAGCTACGCGTCGTCGACAGCCCTAGTTGCCTTAAGTTGTCCGAAATGAGGCTTTCGTCCGCTTTGCTACACTCCTCCGAGTACTCGATTGTTTTTCGTACTTTACGGGTCAAGCTCGACCTCGATTGTGACTGGAAACACATCGAATACCATCGTCATCGGAAGATTCTGAACTGTCTGTTTGACCCTGTTGGAATCAACCAGCCTCGCCGAAAGGGTGACTGATATGATAAGAACGCCAGGGAGGTTTTCTTTGTTGTCCCGCCTCTAGCGAGACAACGAACTTGCGTGCTTGCTACTTTCAACAACGTTTGGGCGTCTCGTGAGCTTCGAACTTGCACGCGCAGTCAAAGCACAACGGAAAGTAACGAGAACGTGGTGAAGGCCGGCCCTCTGAAAGAGAGGCATGAATGAAGAAAAAATAAAATATTCAAAACTGGGACAACAAAACCACATCTTTCATGTCCCAGTTTTAATTGTTTTATTCTTTCTTTAGTCATGACTTGAACCAATACGCTTTTTTCTCAAGCATGAAAGAGAGGCCACGTCGTTTTTATTCTCTCGGTGACTATAGTCACCGCCCGAGTTAAGCCATATTTCCATACATGTATTAAATTGGTATATTTGATCTCTCTTTTGTCTTAAGACAAAACAAAAATCTGAGAGAAAGAGAGTGACAGAAAAGGAATTTTCTTCTGTCTCTCTCTCTGACAGATGTTTAAAAAAAAAAAAACATTTTAAAATCGACGAACAATTCCTCTGTTTCCCAGTATAATCCCCACGACCAACATCACCTTTCCTGCGCTGGTGTTGTTCAAAGAGAAAGGAACTCTGACAGAGGTTTGTAATCGCTCGGCATAATTCATACGAAAAATAAAAAAAAGGAAAATTAGTCCAAAAGCTAGCAGGTTTTCTTATGACAATATGTTCAATTCGAAACGGCGGGGCATAGACGCGGATATCGGCGGTTCCAGTCGGGCGGTCCTGATGAGCACATATCGCTGCCGACAAAACATCAGTTGTAAGGTCTGCACCTTGTTATTTTCACTTACTTTGCAGAAAAACAACGGAATCGCGCAATGACAAAATTAAATAAAATTGACAAGTGATTGAGTAACTTCACCTAGTCGAAGCAAAACTAACATGCCAAACCTTTCGTCTACCTTCGCTCTGCTCTTTTGCCGCTTTCTTTCTCGTTGTTCTTTTCGTGACCGGAGAGGTTAGCTCCCAAGATTTGCTGCGTTCTGCTCCCGTCTTCACCCGCCTGTTAGAGATCGTGCCGGCGTACCTGCCGGAGCCCTTCATGAAGGGTCGCCTTGTCATGGTTCCCAATAATTGCCGGAATTCTAGAAAAACCAATACTGCTGGCTGTAGCTTCCTCTTGTCGCCGACCTTTATGGCTGGAACAATTGATTTAGGCGCAGCTGGCCAGTTTAAACCTCGGGTGAGCGGACAAACAACAGTGCGAACTAACACGGCCCCAAAGCACACGAAACATACCATAACAGCGACGAGCGCCACCAACATGGATTCCGGCGGGTTCCGGTGAGATCTACGAACCGGTAGTAGCGTGGCATCATGGTTTCGTATAAGAACCCTATAAGGGCTCGGCGTTAACCCTGGGGCTCTAAGTTGGACGTTCGGCGAGAAAGTCGGCGAGATCGCCCACCCTCGAGCTTGGCGAGCGCCGCGCTGCGATTGGCCAATACCCAGGTCAAGCGTGGCGCTGGCCAATCGCAGCGGTCGGCTATCGTACCGACGATCTTGCCGACTGTCCACCTTTGAGCCCCTGAGCAAGAAGAGGATGAACTTGCGCTCCGCATAAAAAAAATCCCGAGCGAACGCGATGGCTGTGTTCCAAATCTTACCCAAATGGATCCGAGTGATTCCGGAGGGTCATGCAAAGGGACACCACAAATTGAAGAACGCTGGACGGGGGTAGGTTTTAGAACGCCAAGGTACAAAACCCCCACCCTAGAGTAAGATCGGGTAAATTTTAGAACACGGCCGATGTGTCGCTGTCGTCACGGAATCCCAACTTCTGGCTGCCAAAGCCTCCGTGTACTGCCACACTGGAGAGCCCCCTGCAGCAGAACGGGCGTCTGCCACATACACCACCACTGCTGGGACGCCGCCAGGATCGCGGCTGGAGTCAGCGTGACACTTTTATGACGTCATGCATAAAACGAAAATCGAGGGACCAATTTTTTTTTATTTTTTTATTTTTTGACGAGGTGAACACATTGGATGGGGACGCCCTTTAGGGCAACGATGAGGACGACTTGAACGTGTGAAACGCACCGCTTAGTGTCACACGATCGCAGGTTTTATTTTCGTTTTCAGCAAAAACGTCATATTTTTTGCAGCGTTGTCATTCGCCGTGCTAACTCCGTAAATATCTATAATTAACACCACCCCCCAAATAAAAAAAAATAAAAATAAAGCTTTAAAGGTCATTATTTTACAACACTCAGACAGTCAATCACGGCGAGAAAAAGAAGGATTCCAGCGAAGGACGAAGCTCACAGCACGTCGCCGTGCGCATGGGCAATGGGCGAGGGAAACTTTTTGCTAATTGTCCCCGGGCAGATCCTGTAGTTTATTGTTCTAATCGTATTCTGAACCTTCCTATACACTAGGATTCCCGTGTTGTTCGACGTGATTCGTTGTCTGGCGTTCTGCAGAAAAGCGAACTCACGTACCCTTTTTCAGAGTGCCGTATTTCTCGGGAAAGTAGGCGTACAGGAATTGCCTTAAGCCGCGTTGACCATTCATGGATACAAGAGAAAGTCCGCAGACACTGTCTGTGTTTCTTCCTTGTGTGACGGTTCTGCCACATTTGTCGTACAAGCACTGACTGTTTGAAGCATACGTATGTATGAAGCAGACATGCTTGGCACAGTTTGTCATCGTTTCTGCAACAAGCACTGTCTTTTGTACGACGAACGAGCATTGTGACTGCGGTTTTTGACTCTAAACCAATTTGAGTTCCTCATCCTCTTTCTCAGACGAACAGGTGGTGTTCTCTCGTGCCCAGCATGTTGTCTTTACGCCGAGGTGTCATCAAGGTGTTGCGGCTATGGAGGAAGATCATCATGGTGTCAACGCCGATCCTCTTGCTACCCTTGCTTTTCGTCTCCGACTCGGTGGTGAGTGTTGTGGCTAAATTTTTAACTTGTAGTCAGCGGTAGTTTGAAGGACGAAGGATGTGGAGGACACCGAGCATCTTATTACCGCTCCGTGGTGAATGGAATCGCGACATCAGCCCATAAGAATGAAAAAAAAAAAAAAACGAATGCCAAAGTAACAAGCGGGACCATAAAAGGCACACCTTAAAGGAACACTACAATAAAAAAAAAGGTTTCTTTTAAAATAGCTTTTTTCTTTTTGTAAATTTTCCACGAGAAGAAATATTTCTTCGCGCAGTATTTACACCGTTAGACGGAATTCCGGTGGAGGTTACAGCCTGCTCTAAGCCCCGCCCACAAATCAGCTGCCCAGCCCGTTACTACTGGGTGGCTTGGCTGTTCAGCCGAACACATTAACAAGCCTGGTGTCTGTCTTTAGTGACATCTAGCGCGTATAGTCTGGCGTCAGACAACACCTCCCAGTTGTGCGAGCAGACGCACGGCAGCCGCCGGCATCGTCTGGTATTTCACCACCGTCTATCGTCGTCTGCCATGTCCGTGGGACGCCGACAAGAACCCTATCCGTTGGCGTCCTTTTTCGCCTTCGTCCGTCTGCTATTCCGCCCCCGTGTAAATACTTTTACAACGTTCACAAAACTCGACCATGAAAGCTGCGTTCTAGTGTCCCATCATGCTCGAGCGACGGTCCAATACAAGCGACGGTCAGCGTTTCTCGATGTGCGCTAAAAAGCGACCGAAAGAACTAAAAAAACATAACGGACAAAAAAAAAAAAAAAACGCGACCTAAAATATTCGCTTGAGCAAGTCAGGTTCACTAGTAAAACCTTGACAGCCAAAGGCCTTCCGAAATATAATGACGGTAACATAATTGGTCAAAACTGAGGCGAGGCGAAGACCCGATGGCCTCCAGCCAAATAGTTCGCAAACTCTTACCTGTGTAGGTTACCTCTCAGTACTCGAATCATCACCATAATAATAATCTGTATTGGCTCACGAGAGCCGTGGCAACGCGGAAAGGCGACAGACCGTACCACGGAGGCCCGCGATGCCATGTCTAGTGATGATGATTATGAGATGATATGTACACGGAGAGGACAACGATATATAGATGACAGAGAGGTGCCGACGATGCAGACTTGTACCGTACGCATTACAAGTAATCAAATTACTTGTAATCGATTACTTTTTGGAGTAATTTTGTGATCAGTTGATTACTTTTGTTAGGCAGTAATCACAATAGTAATCTGATTACTTTTTGAAGTAATAAAATTACTTGTAACCGTTACCATTTGTCCACGGCACCCCCCCCCCCCCCCCCCCCCCGGGCACACGCCGTTTTTTTATGAAATGACAAAAATAAAACTTTTTTTCTTTTTTCGAACGGAAAAAAGAAAGATTTTTGCGGAGCTGTGGAATGTCCGTTTATTATTATTTTTTTTTTTTCGAGCTGGGACTGGGAGTGGGAAGCCCAAGGAAAGCTCCAGTGCGTCACAAAGGCCATTCAGGGCGAAATTTAAGGAAGCAGAATGTAGCTTTGTGAGTCCTTCGTTCAAACTAGCCCCCTCACGCACACACACACAGAAATAAAAAAAATAAAAAAATCCTGCTTAGGGTACCTACTCGCAGCCCGGGGCCGTAGGAGAACCAGAACCGAAGAATGTCTAAAGCGGATGCAAAATATAACAAAGGCAGTTGAAATATTCCCCATTTCCCCTACGTGGTCTTTGTGACATGCAATGTTTCGAGTTGAGAAATGGTCGGGGCGACCTCTTCCGCTAATGGATACTACACACGATCCGTTTCAAATCCTGGAGCTGCTGCTCTTTTGTATAAAATGCGAGCTCATCCACATGTGAATAATAAAATGAGCGACGCAAACTTTGAGCGACAACCCTTGCTCAAGCTTAACAAGATCTAGAACCCTCTCCGCTCCCCCCCCCCCCCCCCCCCCCCACACACACACACACTGGTGAACGCCCAAATCATTAAACGTCTTCAAACGAATTCTATGCTGGTGTCCGCAATGTGAAGGTGCAACGGCTACGAAAAGGGAGCCAGTTTTTCTTCTTCAGTACTTGTGCAAATGTGAAATATAGGTTGGAAGTAGTTCATTGTTATGAGCGCTAAAGATGTGTCTTCATACAATAAAGTAATCGGAAAAGTAACGATTACTTCTTTAAGTAATGTCGAATTACTTTTGCCGTCGAGTAATCAAGTAATCTAATCAAATACTTTTTAGCCAAGAGTAATAGTAATTGTAATCGATTACTTTTTCTAGTAACGTGTACAAGACTGCACAGCACACATGCAGACAGTCATCGCGTCCTGCATTAAAAACGCAGAGAATGGTCTCGAACACGATTGTCCGTAAAAATTCAATCTGAGCAGATAGCTATTTCGCGTGAAGACGTTATTTCTGTCCCGTAAATCGGTGCCATTTTTCCGCCGATCGAGTTGATTCCCTAGCCACCTGCTCCACAGAAAAGCAAACTCACAAGCCTTGTTCACAAGAAGTGCGACTATTGCTCGAGCAGATACGGTACTGTTCTACAGCCCATATTTTATTCGCAACTCCAGCGCGCCGCTCGCCATCCCGCGGACGAACGGAGAACCAGAGGAGCGGGGACGGCAGCGGCGACGGCGGCGCGTTAAAGGTGGCGGGGACTGTCGGCCTTGATGCGTGAAGCCGTTTTAACGAAAAAAGTGAGCGCGTTAAAATAGGAATTCTTCTGCTCCGCCTCACAACAGCCTTGCACGAAGGACCGGGAGGTCTAATTTCATTAGGGACTTTTCGTGTATCGCATACGCTGCGGATTTCTGGTCTTGTGCATGGCCGCCAGCTCAATCTGTGCTCAACGTGACGAAAAACGCTCCCGCTAATAATGAAGAACTCTATAGTACGGTCTACAGAAAGTCTATTCTTTGCCATAAGTAGGAGAAAACTCGTCGCGCAACGGTATGTCGAGCAATACAAATCGGGAATGGGTTCGCGTTTTAAGGCCGTCACGAGGAACATGACCATTTATTCCAAGCATTCTAAAAAGACAGTATACCCGTACTAGCTATCAGGTAATTACAAAGTGAATAAAGAAATGCTCGAAGCATTTTAAGCGCGTCTGTGTTAGCCAACCGTTTGTGACGAGAGCTTAGAACCCGCAGTTTTGGGCAGAGGGACCGCAATGTTGCAAATAACACGGTATAACAAACGTACGGTATATTAAAATGTTTATTCTCAGTAGAGCAATAAATAAATCCCCTAAACACGCCGATTATGTTAATAGGCAGTTTTTGCATAGTGTACGACAACCCTAAACCTCTGTTGGACGTACAGCTCACTGGCGTTGAACCGGTGCTACCAACTTTCGCGAGCGGCTTGGTAGCCGAGTTGTGCAAGTTATTAAAATAGCTTAAGTAATTGTAAATGAGTGTAAAAAAAAAAAAAAAGTAATCGGGGTTTCCTTGGCCCTACTGCAAAACCGCGGTGTTTTTGGTTTTGTTTCTCGGTACTCTTTGATGCGTACTTCAGCTGTTTAATATCTTATATTGCGCCGTCATCAAGCCTCTCGTAAAAGTTGGAGCCATCAGTTTGACGTCAGTGGGCTGCACAGTGAACTGAAGTTTTGGAGTGTCGTATATGTGACAAGATATTTAAAAACTACAATTTTTTTTTTTTAGGGTTATGCGCACAGCAACGCTTCTGGCGCGCACTGAAAATGGTGCTTCAAGGGCGCAGCGCGAGCTTGCGGTTGTAATGCTACACCGCACGGTAGCCCGCGGTAATAAACTTTTTATCAACATCCATGGAGAAGTTCGATTCCGTGTTGCAATACACTAAAACCGAGACGGCGAGCACAGATTTGAGAGGCTGTGACGCGAAGACACCAATACTGTGTATTGCTATTCTTCCGAAGCTTGACGGTCACCGTTTGAGGCTCTCTTTTTAGAGCACTAATGGCCAGGCAAAGCGCAAACATATCTTCATCACCCTCAAAAATGTTCTGCCACAAACAGAAACGTGGCCGGTGCTGAAAACGCGCTCGCTCACCACAAAGCTTCGCACTTTAAGGCCACGGTCCCACTGAATGTGGCAGTTTAGCTACTTTTTGGCAGGTCATTATTCATCTCCTTTTAAATACTGTTTTGTGGAATTGATGTCATTCGAAAGGCAGTGCAATCCTCTTTCATTCGATATTATGTGTGTGTTGGTTTTTACTGTTCACGCGCATTTGTAGCGTTGCGAATATGATGTCGCGGACCCTCACTTGCTCCGCTAGATCATGTTTTATGAACGATCCATTAAATATAACACGGTTCCAATATAGCAGTTTTGTTAAGATGATGTCGGAGCAGAATGTAACGATACACTTTTTTGGTATTTGTACTACTTTGTTTTTTTCATCCCTCCAAACGTTGCCCTAAAACTGACATTTTTCAGCACAAATATGTTTTTAATGACAAGCGCTAGGACAATGAAATTAGCTACTATTGGTAATATTCAAAAAAGAATCTAATGTTGTGTAAACATTTTTTGTTTAGATATTTTATATCAGACGTAGCACTTTTTGGTGCTTCGAGTCATGGTACTTCAAATGCCGCTGAGGAAATGAATAAAATATGATAAAATCTTTTACAACATTTAATGCTACAATGGTTGCCCAAGAGGTGGACGATGGCTTTTTTTCATTTTCAAAGTCATAACGCTCCAGGAGCCCTTCAAACTTACCTGTTTTTGACGCATATATTTTTTGGACATCAAACAGATTTATTGGCATCTAATAACATTTATTGTTTGGAATAGATATACATTGCAATGTATTAAACTTTCCCAGTGGTATTGCTTTGGTTTTTTAATATGTGTAGAGCTTAGATAACTTAAAAAACAATTAAAAACTGTTTGGGTGTTTTGTTGCGCTACCTGGCGGATGGCAGACGAACTGCTGATTTCTAATGTTCAAAAAATTTCCGAGGGCGGCGTTGGCGTCTGTATCATCATCAATCTC